GCAAGGCGGAGGTGATGGTGCTTGAAGCCTCGGCCGATTCCAAGGAGGGAGAGAGAGAGAGCTCCGGTAATGAGAAGAGAGAGAGAGAGGGTCAAAGGTCAAATATTATCTACCCACCCCACTCACATAAATCAAGGGCCAAGATCAACCTATCAGTCTCATCAAAGATCCAAAGGCCACAAATGAGTCTTCTAAGGCAAGATGGGGAAAATATCCAACGGCAACTAAGGAATAAGCAAAAAGGAGAGATGGATTCTTGTCCAAATTTTCGCTTATGGAGGGAAATGCAATTGTCCAAATTGCCCTTCAATATTTCAAAAGTGCTCAATTAACCCAGGGGCAAAATGGTCTTTTTCCACTCCCGGTCCAAATTTCGATTTTTTTTTTCGATAATTCTAATCGATCTGATAGTTGGCCACGCTAAATGAGACGACGTCCGATAAATTAGTCGTGGAAATCTTGAAAATTCGACATCCCAATTCGGATTCTAATTAATGGCCAAAATCCAACAATCGCGACTTTAGTGTATCTCAAACTAACGGGCGGCTTTTAGGAGTTACGCGTATCGACACGTGGTCGATGACATCGAGCCACATCCAAGTTTACTTGAGCCATGGCGATCTCGGTTTGTCATGTAATTGCGAGGGTCAATCACTAGTTCCGAAGGACACGATCTTTCGGATTAGGTTTAGGATCGTTCGAAACTCATACAATGGTTAAACGGAATCACCCGCGTTCCGATCATATAAGATTTGCGAATCGTTTCATAGCCATCCTTGGATTGGTCTCTAATGGCACAAAATATTCCCTCGTCAATCCTTATGGTCGAAGTGCCAATCCATGATCAAGTTCTTAGGTCCACGTACTTAATTTCTAGCTAGCCTTTCCCTAACGGTTAGTATCTCGAGAGTGATCAATTTCCGAGTGAGATTTTATTGAAAGTGCACGAAGAAATATTCATTTCATAAATCCCGAAAATGGGTCGAATTTCAGAATGACACAACTCTTTCCCCCTTACAAAAATTTCGTCCTCGAAATTTACAACCAAACTACCCTACTCAAATAACTGGGGGTACTGACGCCTCATGATCTCTTCACTTTCCCACGTGGCTCCTTCCATTCCGTGATGCTCCAAGATTACTTTGACTAGCAGAATAGTCTTGTTCCGCAAAACTTGTTCCTTTTTGTCTTCTATCCGTACCGGTCTCTCCACATACGACACTCTGTCGTCTATGTCTATTACTTCATAATTCAGCACATGGGTCGGATTCGGTTCGTACTTCCTCAGCATGGACACGTGGAAAACATTATGAACTTGAGACAAATTCGGCGGCAATGCAAGACGATAGGCCAAATTTTCGATTCTTTCCAATATTTCAAACGGACATATGTACCTCGGGCTCAATTTCCCTTTCTTACCAAACCGAGACAACCCTCTCATTGGTGAAACCTTGAAAAATACATGATCTCCTACTTGAAATTCCAAGGGCCTACGTCTCCGATCTGCATAATTCTTCTGACGACTCTAAGCAGTCTTAAGTTTGTCCCGAATAACCTTAACTGCTTCGACTGACTGTTGGACCAATTCGAACCCGTTATACTCCGTTCCCCAACTTCATCCCAACAAACTAGAGTTCTGCACGCTCTGCCATACAACGCCTCAAAAGGTGCCATTCTGATACTTTGCTGATAACTGTTGTTGTAGGCAAACTCGACAAGGTGCAATTGCTCTTCCCAACCTCCTTTAAAGTCTATAACGCACGCTCGTAACATGTCCTCGAGCGTCTGACTTGTCCTTTCAGACTGACCATCCGTCTGTGGATGATAGGCCGTGCTATATTGCAGCTTCGTCCCCATAGCCGTTTGAAGACTTTTCCAAAAGGTTGCGGTAAACTTAGGGTCTCTATTTGACATTATTGTCACCGGCACTCCATGGAGACAGACTATCTGTCGCATATACAACTCAGCATACTTATCCATTGCGAAATCCTGTTGCACTGCCAGAAAATGTGCCGGCTTAGTCAATCTGTTGACGATAGCCCAAATGGAATCATGACCTCTCTGACTCCTTGGCAAACCCATGACAAAGTCCATCGTGATATGCTCCCATTTCCATTCGGGAATTTCTAAGGGTTGCAACTGTCCACCGGGCTTACAATGTTGTGCCTTCACTTGTTGGCACGTCAAACACTTGGCCACATATTTGGCTACATCCACTTTCATTCCGTTCCACCAGTAGTGCTGTAATTGCTACGGTGAGCTTCTGCCAAGATTTCCTCCTTAAGCTCTGTATCATCGGGCACACACAAACGTCCACGAAACTTCAAGATTCCGTCCTCAGATACTTGAAAGTCAGCCTTTCTCTTAATTTCGTCCATTTGCAGAATCTTTTGAATCTCAGGATCCGTAGATTGTAATGCCTTAATCCTCGCCTGAATCTCTGGTTCAATCCTCAAGGTAGCTAACAGATTTGAGAGGTGACTTACCTCAAACTTGAATTCCGAATCTGGCACCCCTTCGAGTAATGTTCATTCTTTAACCATCATCTGCGCAATACTTGATTTCCGACTAAGTGCATCCGCTACCTTATTAGCCTTTCCGAGGTGGTACATGATGTCGCAAACATAATCCTTCAGGAGTTCCATCCAGCGACGTTGTCTCATGTTCAATTCCTTCTGAGAAAATAAGTACTTCAGGCTCTGATGATCCGTGTAGATTTGAAACCTTTCCCCACATAAATAATGCCTCCAAATCTTAAGTGCAAAGATGATAGCAGCAAGTTCCAAATCACGCGTCGGGTAGTTAAGTTCATGAGGTCTTAATTGTCGCGATGCATATGCAACCACTTTTCCATGTTGCATTAACACGCATCCTAATCCCTTTAGCGACGCATCACTATAAATCTCATATCGTCCGGGACCTGACGGTATCGTTAATACATGGGCGGTAGTCAACTTGTGCTTAAGCTCCTGAAAGCTCCTCTCACACTTGTCTGTCTATTCAAACCTTGATTCCTTCTTAAGTAAACGTGTTAGAGGAGTAGCTATCGCGGAGAACCTTTCCACGAAATGTCTATAATAGCCTGCAAGTCCTAGGAAACTCCGAACCTCTATCACTGTTGTCGGTCTTGGCCAATTCGTGATTGCCTCAATCTTTGTTGGATCCACTGAAATTCCATCCCCGGAGATTACATGCCCAAGAAATGCTACTTGGTTGAGACAGAACTCGCACTTACTAAACTTGGCACAGAGTGCGTGTTCTCTTAGAGTCCGTAGAACCATCCTTAGATGTCGCTCATGATCCTCGGGGCTCCTTAAATACACCAGAATGTCGTCGATGAATACAATAACAAACTGATCCAGAAACTCCTTAAACACCCGATTAATTAAATCCATAAAGGCAGCCGGGGCATTAGTTAATCCAAAAGGCATTACCGTAAACTCGTAATGTTCATATCGAGTACGGAATGCTGTCTTCAGTATGTCCTCCTTCTTAATCCTCAACTGATGGTATCCCGTTCTTAAGTCTATCTTGGAGAATACCGATGCCCCTTGCAGTTGATCGAATAAGTCATCTATTCTTGGCAACGGATACTTGTTCTTAACAGTCACTTGATTCAACTGCCTATAGTCAATGCACAAATGCAAGGACCCGTCCTTCTTCCTTACAAACAGCACTGGCGCTCCCCACGGTGACGCACTTGGATGGATGAACCCCTTATCCAGTAGTTCTTACATCTGAACCTTCAACTCCTTTAACTCTAATAATGCCATCCTGTAGGGCGCTCTAGATATCGGTTTTGTCCTGGGGGCCAACTCAATTATGAATTCCACTTCCCTCTCAGGTGGCAATCCTAGCAATTCCTGAGGAAAGACATCGAGGAAATTGCACACCACGGCTATCTCTTCTAGCCTCGGTTCCTTAATCGATGAATCAACCACAGTAGCCAGGTAACCTTGACACCCATCGTCCAACAACTTAGTCACCGCAAGCGACGAAATCCAAGGAATCGAGGTTCCTCCTCGATTCCCCACAAACTCATATCTAGGATGACCAACCGGATTAAATTGGATCACCCTGTTACTACAGTCCATAACGGCTTTCTGTCTAACCAGCCAATCCATGCCAATAATGACATCAAAATCAAACATAGCCAAAACAGCCAAATCCATCAATTCTTCCCTACCACCAACAACAATCTTACAGTCTGAACATCCTAACGAGATTAGCACTTTATCCTTAACAGGGGTGGTAACACATAAATTTACCTCTAACGGTTTCAATTCCATGCCAGCCAGATCAACAAATTGCTCAGACACAAATGAATGCGATGCTCACGGATCAAATAAGGCATAAGCAGCATGATCACATAAAGAGACCATACCTGTGACCACGCCAGGTGCATCCTCCGCCTCTTTGCGAGCCATAGCATAGATTCTCCTTTGAGCTGGGGGTCGGTTCTGAGTATTTTGCGGGGCGGTTCCGACCTAATTTCCCATCCGAGGCTGTTGCGGTTGTATTGGTGGCCTAGCTTGTTGCCTCGGGCAATCTCTCACTTGGTGACCATGTTGGCCACATCCATAACAAGCTCCACTTCTGCTCGGGCAAGGGCCATTCCCATGCCTCCTTCCGAACGATCGACATGCCGCGCTGGAGTGATAGTTCGGCTTTCCAATGTTTTTCCTAACGGGAGGTACAAATCGCCTATTCCCAGTCATAGGTCTCTTTCCAAAGTTCCGATTGTCCCTAACCGGCGCGTATCGCGATCCCGAAGCGGCAGCCCTTTCTGTCATATCTCGTTCAACCATTTGTGCCTACTCGTAGAGTTCATTATAATCCCTCAAATTCAGAAGTATCAGCTGATTGCGGAGTTCCGGCTTCAATTCATCTCGAAACCTCCGTGCCCTATCCATAGGGTCTTCCACCATCCTTGGTGCGAACTTAGATAGTCTGGCGAATTCTGCTTCGTATTGATCCACTGACATCTGATTTTGGCGAAGTCATAGAAACTCTGCCATCTTCTGTTCCCGTGCACTCTCAGAAAAGCACTTGCCATTGAAGACTTCAACGAACACAACCAAAGTCTGAGCGGTACCAGCAGGGAACACTCTTCCTCTGGTGGCCTTCCACCAATCACTCGCATTTCCTTGGAGCTGGTACACCGCCAAGGTTACTTTCTTTTCCTTGGTGCACCCTAGTACCTCAAAAGCCTTTTTCAATTCCTCTACCCACAGCGATACAACCTCAGGGTCACCTTTACCATCAAACTTAGGGGGCTTTAAGTTCAAGAACTACTCAACTAGCTGATGCATCTGCCTATTCACATTCACTTGCCCTTGACCATAATTCCCATTTCCACTCTCATTATGACCACTATTCCCATTATTTCCATTAGCCCCGTTAGCAGCGGCAACAGCGGCTTCAACAGCAGCGGCAACAGCAGCAGCTTGTCCTTGAGTCTGCCTACCCATCAAGGTTCTAACTTCCGCAAGTGCCCTCAATATCCCATCCACTCTAGGATCCTCCATAGCTCTAGCTCGTGAACCCCTTTGGCCTCTTGTCCCCCTAGTCCCTCTGTCTCGGCTACTCATCCTCACAGGGTTCTCTCACCAATACCTAAACCTGCTATAATTCCGCCCAGGAATTATAGACCTAAGCCATCTACTCAAGTTTAGCAATTCTAGGCAGTAAATCACAACGGCAATCATAAGACAAGCAACCGCAAGGCAAGCATGAGCGACACCTAATGAACAGAGTTTCGGTCTCACCTTAATCCTCGCAGCGCCTGCAACCAAGAATATCACCAAGTAAGCATCCAGCAATCACAAGCACATAATCGTGAAGCATGTATTAAGCAATCTAAACTTGTGATCAAGCAGGTCTCCCTAAATGACTACCCCAAAGTCATCGTCATTATCACTCCAAGTCTCGACCAAACTTGGATCGAGCTGACCTTGCTCTGATACCAATTAAACGGGGATGTCACGCCCCGAACCTCGAGAGCGCGCCAACATCCCTCCGAGGTCATCAAGTATGCGACATCCCAAGATTTGTCGCCGACCCAAACCAAACGCTAACGAATAGTGTAAGCGGAAGCAAAACGAACTCTCCATACAACATGTAATCCAACGGGATAATAGAGAGACAATCGAAACACATCAACAAATACATGGGTCCAAAAGAATTGGGGGGTGGGTAAGCTTAACTCCTCTACAAAAGGGGTACTCCAAAAGAGATGAGGAGAATAATCCCATCCTTAGATCATCACGGTACCCTGGTGGCATCTCCGGATCAGTCATGGTCATGGGTCTGAAATGGTTTGGTTATACAACCATGAGAACACTTCTCAATAAGCAACTACCTAAGCCTCGCTTAGGCTAACACGTACTTCCGGACAATCCTAAACGTGCAATTCTAACAAACAACGTGCCATAGACAATCACAGGCGTCCTTACCCCGCCTTGGCACATGCACACGCCCTGCACGTTAGAATACCGCCATAACATGGCAATTCGCTCCTCGAGCACATGATACAACCACATGATGTAAACGTGCACAAAACGGTTATTAATCCAGACATACTCAATAGTAACACAAGCACATTGCATTCCCCAATGCATAACACACGATTATAAATGTCCAGATTATTAACGGCCCCTTGGGCCACCGAACCCCCGCCGGTCTTCTGGCGTAACCAGGCATCGTCCCGCTACTTCGGCGATGGCAACGTCTGGAACCCCCGCCCAGACGACATTCCATAAAGGAGCATCGATCCGGCCTCCACCGCGATCGGCAACGTCTAGAACCCCCGCCTAGACGGAACGTGTCGTGACCATACACACACTCAACAACCATTACCAATTCTTATCTTTATAAATTAGCCTAATGTCAACTAAATCCGTCAAAACGCCACAATAACACCGAATAATTCTCGAGAGAGAGAAAAACCGAAAATATACAAAATCGGGTCCAAACTGGGCAGTTGCGCAGTGACTGAAATCCATTTGAAATAAATAGTAAATCAACTCCAACAATTCTGAAATTTGGATATGTTGTATAAGACATCTTGATAAACATTTTCAGTGAAGAACTCGAAATCCAGTTCCAACCGTAAACACCGCGTTTTGACACTCAAAGCCGGACAGAACCCGGTTCGCTCGGACAGCCCCTTAGACCATAAAAAATACAACTCATTCAGTACCTAAATCACTTTGAAAAGCTCTGAAATTTTTATATATCATAGAAACAAGTGTTTTTAACAATTTTCGTGAAGGAAGTTTATTGAAATAAGGTCTAGAAAATTTTATAAAAAATCGGAAAGACAAGAATGTCGGGTGAACAGTAACTCCGGCAGCCCTGAGACGGTCCGAAAACCGACTTCCGAATGACCCCAAAAAAATTCCAAAAATTATGAATTTAAATTATGTTATACCTCAAGATGTTGGGAACAAATTCCATGCGGAACACTTCCTCATATTCGGCCCAGAATGATCACCAAAAAATAACAAAGCACAGAGGTACAGTAACAACCAGAAATCCGAGAATCATTAAACTTGCACCATTAAGCAAATCAAACTTATACAACCCCTAAACCAACTATCCACAGCCCCTAGACATGCCATTAGTAACCCACTAGCCTAACCAAGGATTAGGAAGTCACTTACCAAGGGTTTAAGCAAGAAAACCGGTGAACAGGCAAACTGAGCTCCCGCGGTGAACAGGGCTGGACGGGAAGTTCCGGCGGCTTTTCGGCGACCAAGCTGGGATGGTTGGAACGAGCACAAGATGGTGGTGGTCGGAGTACCAGGAGTGAGGCCTAAAGAGAGAGAGAAATATGGGAAAATGGGTGTTTTTCAGTTGGTTTCTGGGCTAGTTCAGGCTTTTGTGAACAGTACGCACTCCGGCGGTCGGACGGGTGGATGGCCGGAGATTCAGGCGGCGGTCCGGTGGCGTCTGAACCGGAGAAGCATGGCGGAGGTGATGGTGCTTGAAGCCTCGGCCGATTCCAAGGAGGGAGAGAGAGAGAGAGCTCCGGTAATGAGAAGAGAGAGAGAGGGTCAAAGGTCAAATATTATCTACCCACCCCACTCACATAAATCAAGGGCCAAGATCAACCTATCAGTCTCATCAAAGATCCAAAGGCCACAAATGAGTCTTCTAAGGCAAGATGGGGAAAATATCCAACGGCAACTAAGGAATAAGCAAAAAGGAGAGAGGGATTCTTGTCCAAATTTTCGCTTATGGAGGGAAATGCAATTGTCCAAATTGCCCTTCAATATTTCAAAAGTGCTCAATTGACCCAGGGGCAAAATGGTCTTTTTTCACTCCCGGTCCAAATTTTGATTTTTTTTTCGATAATTCTAATCGATCTGATAGTTGGCCACGCTAAATGAGACGACGTCCGATAAATTAGTCGTGGAAATCTTGAAAATTCGACATCCCAATTCGGATTCTAATTAATGGCCAAAATCCAACAATCGCAACTTTAGTGTATCTCAAACTAACGGGCGGCTTTTAGGAGTTACGCGTATCGACACGTGGCTGATGACATCGAGCCACATCCAAGTTTACTTGAGCCATGACGATCTCGGTGGTCATGTAATTGCGAGGGTCAATCACTAGTTCCGAAGGACACAATCTTTCGGATTAGGTTTAGGATCGTTCGAAACTCTTACAATGGTTAAGCGGAATCACCCGCGTTCCAATCGTATAAGATTTGCGAATCGTTTCATAGCCATCCTTGGATCGGTCTCTAATGGCACAAAATATTCGCTCATCAATCCTTATGGTCGAAGTGCCAATCCATGATCAAGTTCTTAGGTCCACGTACTTAATTCCTAGCTAGCCTTTCCCTAACGGTTAGTATCTCGAGAGTGATCAATTTCCGAGTGAGATTTTACTGAAAGTGCACGAAGAAATATTCATTTCATAAATCCCGAAAATGGGTCGAATTTCATAATGTCACACAATCACGGAGCCAATTGGAAGGAGTTATTGTGCTATAATGTCTTCAATTATTTTAAGTAACCATTTCCTTTTTTTTTTTATTGTCAACCTATAGGTTCTTGACTTACTTTTGCGGTCTTCGTGGGCCTAGCTCTTCCTCTTGAGTCATGGATTCTCTAATTTGGGTCTTCTCTTTGTTTTTGGTAACCAGTCTTCACCTCGCAAAACACTCACGAACATCAAAATCAACATCAGCTTTATCTTTCTTTTCCCCCAGGTACCTTTTTTCCAATCAATTTGTCTTAATCACGTGGAGGGCCTTGATCATGAAGTCCTTTAATTTTGTCAATATAATTATAAACTTTTACGCGAAATTTCAAAATAATCATTCTAGATAATTTTCTTAGGATATCACTAACACGGTCTAGTCATAACCGGTCGTTCCAACGAAAATTGGCCTTGAGGACTACATTGGATTTTCGTACAAATGTTTAGGACTATATTAGCAAAATTAAAAAGTTTAGAACTAAATTGACATATGTACAATAGGTTTAGAACTGATTGAATAATTTTTCCCAACTTCCAATGAACACTTTTTAAAAGTTATGACACTCAAGTGAGCATCGTACAAAAATTATAGCTTTTAAATTATTGAAAAAAAAAAGTTATAGCACTCAAATGAAAATTGTACAAAAGTTATAACACTTATGGTGTCTCTTTTTTGATGAAGATATTTAATTAAACCTCAAGTGTTAATGCAGTGAGCGATAAATTTCAATTAATCTCTTTTTACGTGAATTGATCGGGATAATTGAGGTTCAACCGCAATCAATGACTTTCTTCTTTATCGGTCTTTGTGGCAAAAAGAAAAAAAAAAGAAATTGCTCAAAAAAGAAACACCAAAAGACAGAAAAGATGGTTAATGGCTTCCTTCTTCAAGCGCGGTGAAGGGGCCACACCTGATAGCTAAACGCAAGGACAGATGCACACTGTCCCTGGTTTGTGATTTTCTTCTTGTCCGATACTTATCATCGCAATATGTAAAAGAAAAGAAGAACTTGAAAGGCATCTATAAACTGATGAAACCCTTTATGGTCCGCAAGTTTGATTGCCAAGTGCAGCTTTCATCAGAGGTAAAATTGACGTAAATTCCCAAAAGAATCCAGCTGAATGACATGATAAGCCTTAAACTCTGTTTTAGAGTCCCACGTACGTCTTCACTTTTCAAGCAAATTCCTCTGCATAGCGGTCCTCACCTCATATGGTTTAATCTTTGGCCGTTAAAGACCAAACTCCCATAATTCTATAAGACTAATAGGTAATATTTCTGTCGCGACCGAACTCTCGAACCCTTTTTAAACAACATGCAAAAAAGGGGGGCTCGCCTGGTACGTGCTAAGTCTAGGTTCGGGACTTAACTCGGGCTCTCTCAAGCCCATACCATATCGCGACTTAGGGTTTAAGTTTTTAACATGCAAGTGGTTTATATCAAGGAGTCGCCACTAATCGATTTGGGGTGGGTCGATTAGAAACCCAAATAGGGTGATAAGAGAATCACCCTATTCCTGCGAACCAGAGATTA